ATACAATTGTTGAACATTGTATGTCATCTAAACAAGATAATATTTCAGAGGTATCACTCCCGCAGAGTATAAGTTAGAGAATGACGTGACGAATGTCGTAATGAACATAGATATTACAGCTATTTTGTAGAATCGCGGATCATTGATCCGCCGGGGATGTCTCATTGTGCTGGACATTTTTTCAATGTAAATTAATTCACGTAACATACTCTTCCAGTTTCCACCAGACTTTGGAGTTGAGTAGAAATATATCACCAGTGAAAGACATTTTAAGCTGCCTTGTATACTGTCAACAAATATAGTCACTAGTTGTGGCGATTCTGGGTAAATGAGTGTCCTTGCTATGATATCGTATACTTCCATTGTTATTAAAATGATGGCCCAGCAGCAAGTTATTGCTTGGTATACTGAGCTTATATAGCCAGCTTCAACGAATGGTGGTAAGACTCTTGAATATTTTCCGATTTTATGGTACAACAGCAATATATAAATGTGCTCTATAAATGGACCTACACCTCCCTCCATCGTTATTTATTGACTATAAAGGTCATAGAACAAGTATTAAGCGCTAGTGTACTGCCGTACACAAGCATCATCTGCTTATATATAATTCCTTGCTTTTAGCTTAATTAAGTCATTTAGTGAAAAAGAATGTAAATAGAAATGAGTCAAGTCGGAGACAAGAAGTTTATGCTTACCAGGTGCAGTGCTATGCTTAGCACCGGTACCGTCACCCTGTTGGATATACTGTAGACCGTCTCTTCAAAGCACCATAGAACACATATTAAAGCATTAACGTAGCAATTTGCAACCACTAGCAGCAAGATTCGACCGAAGATCCTATTGAATTGCGACACCAATTTGCCACATTCCTTGTAGTACAAAGTTATTTGATCAAAATTCCTGAAGTTGTAGTTATCGATGGTACCTTCTATATTAGCAACAATGTTCTCGTACTGAGTTTGAATAAAATTTAGGATCAGATGCATCAAAGATACAATAAACAACTGTAGGAATACCTGAAATATCTCAATGACATAGTAATGGACTTGTATCACATCAGTATATAGCAAGTTTGATAATGATAGAAGAAATGTTGTAGCGAAGGTAAAAATTACAAATACTTTGTAGAGCCCCAGACCTCTATAGTTGATAGAATGCCCTACTTTGCGAGATATCTTATTAACATGAATCAGTTGTCGGAACATGGCCTTCCACCTAACACTCCGTCTTAGAGTTGAAAGGAAATATATCAATAGGGAAAGACATTTCAGGCCCCCTTGCAAAACGTCCACAAATATGGTTAGCAGTTTGGATGATTCTGGATCTATGACTGTTCTGACAATGATAGTGTATATTCCTGTGGTTATAGAAATGAAAGCCCAGCAACACGTTATAGTTTGGAATATGGTCCTGGCGAAACCAGTGTCTTGGAATGGAGATATTATTCCTAAGACTTTTCCGATTTTACAATATAGCAGGAATATATGAATATGTTCATCGAAGAGATGTAAATTTTTCTTCATCGTTCTTGGCTGATAGCAGAAGAAAAAATAACAGCTTACACTCTGGCAGCATACTGTACATAGTATAAATAATTCAATGCTTTTAGCGTATTGAGTTTACCTAGCTTACGTTTATCCAATACACGGTATTTGTTTGGCCTTTGGCATTGTTAGTTGATGCAATAATAGTCTCAGAACAGAGCCGGTCCTGTTCTGAAAGTGAAAATGAGAACGTATCTCTTGTCCTTGATGATTACAACGTTGTCCTGAATGGATTGATATGAAGTGGTTTCTTCAAAAATTTGGACTATTCACGAAAGCGATTGTAATAGTCGTAACTGTGGGTACTAACCTACAATTTTCTTGAGTATTTTTTTTATACTCGCTCAAATCGTCTCGTGTCACAAGCTCAAGTTTACGCTGCTTAACTGTGCTTGTGTCTATCTATAAGCTTGTGTGGTATCGAAGCATTACCACGAATGAGCATATTTTGAGTGCGGTTTTTTAAACTCTTGTCGAGTTATAGCGACGAACGTGGGGCTGTAAGTAAGCAATTATGCTGAGATGGGGTATCAAATCAAGGAGTTTAATTTGTAGATTACTAGATCGGTTTTTTGATGAAAGTCAGATGAGGTCAAGTTGCTAAACCACTTTGCGTCGCTTCACACGTGTCGGAAATTAGAAAATTTCGGGGTTTTCTAATTTGTTAAAGAAATGACTTGTTTGTGTTCGTACAAATCAGCTGTCAATCTAGTCATTCCATTCACAAGTCAGTACGTTTTCGGTTCCTTGGTTGCTTAATGGATATCAATGGATTCTTCTGCAATTACTCTTTTACAATTAAGTTTCTCACTCTAATTATGGAGCAGAGCTGGGAATATCTTTCCCTGCGTGCTCTACAGATTCGGCTACCTAAGAACAAAGGACCAGCGTATCAGTTAGTCCTGGATGCAGGGCAGAAGTCTGGTGGACCGTATGGAAAGCTCAATGCGAGGCAGCATCATGGAGGAGAGCTCTGAGGAGCGACGCCCGTTGACCCACTGGTAGACGAGAGTCAGATCGCCAACCGTCCGACTGTGCGAGCGGATCCCAAAACCGTCCGCTGGAGAAGTGCCATTGATCAGTCGAACATTCCAGCTCTAAACATCATCAAGTAATGACAATGTTTTCAGGGTTATAGCGCCCCAAACATGTGAGCAGTATCCAAGGCTGGGTTTTATACGTAGTTACCAGGTGGAGAAAGGTACTTCTCTGTGTGAATGCTGATAGTCCTGATACGTCGTCCTACGTGTTTTCTCAATCACCCCATTCCTAGTCATTATGTCTGTGGATCTGCATAGATCCGAATAAACACTCACCTGTCTAAATTCAAATGCGGTGTCTCCGAGCCGCTATTTGCTGGAGCAACCGCTACATATGGTTTATTTAAGTCTGACGACACTACGCGGCGGGTGTCCTACAACAGATTAGGAAGTCCACTATCTCGGTCTGTGCTGCCTCTAAGACTCCAAGAGCTCGCCCGCGGGTTGGTTTTTGATCAGCTTATAAAGCAAGACGCGTACCATAATAATTTGGAGAGAACTCGCTTATTGGGCATTCTTACTACATTTGACTTGATAATACAGTTGTGAGTTTTGCAACCTTCGACAGGGGAAAGGTCTGGAGATCGAGGAGGCCTCTGGAGCAGATTTAATCCAGATGCTTCTAGAAATTCTAAACGAACACGTGCGACATGAGATCCTTCATTGTCCTGCTGAAAAAGTAGATCCTTCCCAAAGGAAAGCAGATGTGGTATACAAATTTCGTGAACATAGTGCTGGGCAGTCATGCTACGCCGAATGAATACTAATCGTGACCTGCTGCCGTAAGCAATGGCACCCCATACCATAACATCCACACTACGATCAGTATGCCGTTCGATAAAATATTGGACGTTCCGTCTTGTCTTTCACCACGTCTCCTCCTTACTCTTTCACGGCCATCATGTGTGCCCAAACATAATCTGGAGTCAACACTGAACACGACTGAGTTCCATTCCATGTTCTATTCAAATCTCTTCCTACTCCATAACAATCGTTGTCAACGATGCTGTGGGGTTAGAGGTAGTTCAAGATGGGGACGGTATGAAAACAGTCCAAAAGATCCTACTCGGCGATAAACTGTCATTGTTATTGCCCTTCCGACACCATCAAACCCTTGTTGTGGACAAACAAGTCACCCGGGATAGATGACATATCACCTGAAGCAGTGAAATAGGCAATAGGCAATCAGAGTGGCGCCCGCGTGGATGCTAACAATGCTGAACCAACTACTGCTACTGCAGGAGTCTCCACCAAAAATTGCTAAGCTGATCCCTTTGCTGAAAGAGCGTAAAATGGCGGGACACCCTGCATCCTATCGGCCCATCCGTTTACTGAATACACTCAGTAAACTATATGAATAGCTTATTGAGAAAAGGCTACAGGAAGAAATAGTTGTAAGAGGGGCTTTGCTGATTTTCAGCACGGCTTTAGAAGAGGTCGTTCCACAATTGAGGCGACTGAAACAGTGTTGAAGAGGACTGAAGGTGCTTCGTACAGATGGTGCGCTCTTATTTCAATGGATGTTAAAAATGCATTTAATACCGCAACCTGGAGTCATATATTATTACATGAACTAAGAAGTAGAAATATGTATATCACCTTACTTGTTAAACCTTGTGCGTGCTTATTTTGTAGATGCAAGTTGCAAAGAACCAGATAGTTGATGTAACTGCAGGATTACCACAGGGGATGCTGAGGCTGTAAATGACAGAAGGGGCAATGGCGGCATCCTTAGCGGATGATCTGGTTGTTGTGGTGAACGCAAGGGATGAAGAGGAGTTGATGTTCACGAAAAACGACTACTGCATGCGGCCCCAATTTGGAGCTTGGCACTGGAGAAGAAAACGTATAGAACCTTAATGTAGAGGGCACAAAGGAGATGCTGCTGAGGACAGTTAGCGCGTACCGAACTGCACCCACTATGGCTCTTCTGGTCTAAGCTGTGGAGCTGTCGATTCAATTACTAGCTAAGGAAAGACGGCTGTTGTACGTACGCAGGAGCGAAGTGTCACCTGCTGTAAGAAGATCTATACGGCAAGAGGTTGTAGAGGATTGGCAGTAGCGACGGGCATGCAAATTCAGGGAATCAACGATAAGAGGAATAGATCGCTACAACCTAACTCCTTATCCCTTCGGAGGATGGGAGACGTAAGGATGGACAACATAGAAATTGAAAGCACACTGGTTAACGCGATCGGTCGAGAAGCTATGTGTTAGCGACGGTACCAGGGTAGTTGCGGTGTCAGAGGAGCTACTTGCTCGGGTTAGCACAAGTACCATTTTTCAAGTGAAGGTGAAATCCATTTTCAGACAGCATGCTTCCAATCTAGTCAGATGATAATGTGAGGGTCTACTCTCAGAGTCGAGAGAATATACCCACTATATCACCTCAAAATATCGTTTTTCATTTCAGCATACTCATCGCGGTACTGCTTTCGCAGTGCCCCAGGATGAGAGCTGACAACATTACAGACTACAGGTATGATCTAACTTGAGTCTTTTTTTTCCTTCAAAAGACCTTCCACGTAGGCTGCTACGAAATTCCGCGATCTCTCGTTGTCAAGCATTGCTTTCGCAGCTGCTTGTGGAGGTAGCTTCATCCGCATTTGCTAGCCACTTTTTACCTTTCGAGATACTATCTCGCACGTTCAATGCAAGTGTGGTTTGTTATGTCCTCGCGGGTGCAGTGGTCGCACTGATTGGATACTTTAAGGCATAGTTTAAACAAGTATCTATTAACCAGGCCAAGGTCTGAAAAGGACTGGGTGAGGTAGAAGTTCACACCTCCAATAGCCCGATTGTACCACGGCCTAACATCTGGGACAATGAGTTCGATCCATCTGGCTACATTTCCGTCTTACTCTCACCGCTCTTGCCATTTATTAAGAGTGTCGGCACTTGCCTGGGTGTTTGGCACTGATGATGGCCTCTTACGGTACTTTTGCACATCCAAAGCGTCGGCCCAGACTTCTGCACCGTACCTATAACAACAGAGTGTGCGACACTTATCGACGTGCGCTTTTGTTCTGACCTAACGGCAGATGCACACATCTGTTTAAAGTATATCAGCTTAGCGTCAACATCAACACCCAGGTATCCATCTCCAGCGGCCACCACGTGCATGTCTCGGAGGGTGACTTGATGCGGCTCTGAGAACTTTCTCTGTCTGGTTAGCACTACCAGCTCCGTCTTACTTGCTGCTAGTTGTAGGCCAATCGCGGACTTGAGAGACTATGTACTCAACCCTGTATATAACTTCATCTGCTTCCCTCGCTGAGATATCTTCTGCAATCTCGTCTACATAACCAATTAGAGACGACCACTCTGGGATTTCCGTCATCGTACCAGTACATGATGCAACAGAGATCTGGGCCCAGCCCTGAGCCCTGGGCAATGCCAGCAGCTATTTCCCTTCTTCGGGAGCCTTCCGTTGTTTTGTACGCCAGAGTTTGGTAATTTAGGTAGTCTCCAATAATTTTGTCAAGATCCTAGCTTAGTGATATGGCGCATGGTCTCTTTGATTAGCCCCTCTGCTTCTTTTTTGGATTAGTTGTCCTTACATGGGGTACGCGAGCTTTCAAACTCCTATAGGTGTTGAAGGAACTATGCGGCGTTTAGTTAGTAAAGTTAGAGAAAATGAACTATACGTTGTTACTACCAACACTACAAAAGGTGCGACATACGACGGCGTCTCTACACATTTTACTAACATTACAGCTTGAAAATTGTTCACGAACAAATCTCAAACGTGTATATCGGAGTTTTAAATTGGACTCTCGCCATTCTGATCTCGGAAAAGGTAAGAGATTAAATGTGGCGTATTTTGATAACTAAGAACATTTCACTTTAAGCGAATGTCAAACGATGAGTGTTTACCCTGGTATGTACCATCAGCATTGAGTGGTCATAGCATCAGTGTCATGAATTTCTGCGTACTGACGTCCTGGCTACACGGTCTCTAAGTACCACATTCCTTGAAATACTGACAAATTACAGTAAACACTGATCGGGTGACATTCGCCTTATGCAGTTTAGAAATTCAGAGAGAGAGAAATGTCAAGTATTCTTAAAATTGTCCTTATTTTTCCTCAGTTTACTTGAGGTTCGGTTTTAACATGTTCTCAATATTAACATTGCAACTTTCCACCTATACGGTAGCGTAATCAGAATTGTCACCAAATCCATTTTTCCTCATGGGCGCGATATGAGATATTTGCACAGGTAAGTTTTTCATTTTTAAATCTGATTCCAAAAGTTTTGCTATACGAAAAAACAGAATCCAACTAGGCCCTAAAATTACTAGATGGTCATTTCTTCCATAATGTCTCTAGCCAATTGGAACTAGAAGTAAAAACTCTATTCACCTGTGTGAAAATTCAATATGGTATCGATAAGAAAAGAAAAAGTTGATGATTGAGAGTAAGAGACAAAACATGATATTGAAATTGTTATTATAATATGTCACCTTGAGGAAGAGAAAAGGGAGGAATGTTAACATATCATTCTGGAATCCAACCTTAAAGTCAGGGAATAATAAAGTTGCTTCTGGAAAATCCGTTTCATCGTCTATCTCAAGAAATACTACGTATACGTCACTCTGTCTCCATTTATCCATATCTCTTATTGTTTCAGAGATGATGAGAGTCGACCTTCAAACAACCGGTATGCCGAAAAACAAAGAGTCTTTTCGTCCTCGGGTTGGGACGAACTGCTATCAAATACCATAACTATGACTTACCAGATTCCAAAGAATTGACAGAAGTGTTGTCAATACTGCGCTATCGCCATAGTAAATCCTATCCTCGAAGCTCCATACCAAACAAACCAAAACTCCTACGTAAGAATTTGCTGTTGTCAAGAGGAGCACCCAACGAAATACTTGATTGAACAACAGAATCAACTCATGGTATTCCATGTAGTAAACTTGAGCATGTCCAAAGTAATTACGTATCTCATCCTTTGAAGATAAGTACATATGAACAGAGTTACTCAGGAGAATAATCAAACCGTCGCACTGGTTGTGAATAATTTCTAGAATCAAGTACATGAGCACAACAATGTATGCTTGAAAGAAACATGACGCGATGTCTACTGCATAATAGCTCTTAATTACTGAGGTTACTTGAAGTGCGTTATAAATAGTTATTAGGAATGCTGATGAGAATAGAGAAACCGTAAAGGCTCTATCGAACGTAGCTTTACAGAGCCGCTACATTTCAATCGACGCGCAGTCTCCTTCATACGGACAAGCGAATCGAAAAGTTGCTTCCATTTTCGAGTCTTTTCTATTGAGGGTTGAAAATAAACAAACACACAGAGACAAACCATAGATCCATGTAGAAAGTCAACAAACTTCAGTAAAGTGACGTTAGATTCGGGATGTATAAATATTCTAAGTATGATGCAGTAGATCTCTAAGCCAACGAAAGTCCAGGTAAAAATGCATTGAATGATATGGAATAGTTTCCTTCTGGGCTGGCTCTCAAGAAATGGTGGTACTAAGCAAGCAAGCTTTCCAATTTTATACAGCTGAAGCATCGCGCGCAAGTCTTTGGTGTAGGAACTTAGACCTTTCATGTTTGTAGTTTGAGCTTGTGTTATGGATTACCTTCACACAATGTGCACATTCCGTTCTACACTTAGTAAGTGAATATTCTTTATTGACACTGCCTGGTCGATAATACATAACAGACTCGTTTCGAACACTAATTTACAAGTTGTCAGGTAGATTAGCTCAATTTTTACGTAGGAACCTTGTAGCGATGTTACCTCTTATCAAAATCTGAAGATTCAACATCTCATAAGCCCCGATACTTTTTTTACTCAGCTTCAAATAAAACAGTAGATGCTGGATTGCAAGTTTACTAGCGTTTCGGCCACCTCAGTGGCTCTCTCATTGTACATGAAAAATGACGATTTATCTTATTTATCTTCCTCCGGATGATTTGCTTTTGTCACTACTGAACCGTGTAGGTATTTGAATAACAGCCATTTAGTAGCAGCAAAACGAATGAACTGTCACTTGAAAGGCACATAATATTGTGTATTTTTATTGTCATTATTGAGTTTCTATAGCGAACATGACATAGTAGTAGTAGTAGTAATGGTGGTGGTTGTGGCGAGGCGAAGCCATCTTTGGCCCTTTTTGCCGACCCCCAGTCTACCAACACTTTACTCCACTGGTTTTTCCTGGTGTCCTAATCTTGGCCAGGATGTTAAACCACTCTGCTGAAAAAGCGACCACACTCTCAAAGTCCACAGCTTCAAATACCTAAACCCTTAGGTTGTACAGCCCGAGACCGAAGCCTAGGTAGTGGACCGATAGTTTATCCTCCTCCCAGAGGATAGAGATAAGTGTCTGTTCAATCTACAGTGGCCGGTATGCACTTTCACCAAAGGATTGAGTGATTCCCTACTTCTGTAAAGTAGCCAGCGGGTCCGACGTTTGTCAAGGCAGGCTGGGAATCTCTTGCCCTACCTGCAGTCACCTCTCTCAATCGCCACGATATTCCTAGGACCATATACACCCATTTGTTCAATGCACGGTTAACCTGGCGACTTCTTATACCCGACCCGAAGTGTACCAACACTTTACTCCACATGTTTTTCCTGGTCTCCTAATCTTGGTCAGAATGTCAAACCAGGGTCTCTTAATAGAGATAAGTGTCTGTTCAATCTACAGTGCACTTCCACCTAAAGATTGAGTGATTCCCTACTTCTGTAAAATAGCCAACTGGTCCGAAGTATGTCAAGGCCCGCTAAGAATCTCTTGCCCTACCTGCAGTCATCTCTCTCTCAGTCGCCACGATATTCCCTGGTCCATATACACACATTTGTTCAATGCGGGGTTAACCTGGCGACTGCTTATACCCAGCCTAGGCTCAGGACCGCTCCAGGGGCTTCTGGCCCCCTGCCTAGCCAAATAATCATTTCTTTCGTTACGCGCTACTCCTCTGTGTACGAGGACCCAAAGCAGGGTCACTTCTTTAGATCAAGCTAATCTCTGAAGAACAGTAGTGCATTTCCTCGGTACTTCCCTCTAGCGCCACGGTACCATGGGAGTTTAGGCATTAGGCCTTTGAGGTGATTCGAGTTCAAAAAAGTCTCTCACAAGAAGATTTCCATCGTCGCGAACGATCACGTGTCACGTCTGTGAATATTGCTGTTTTTTTGTATACCGCCGTTGTAAGGGCAAATGTATGGGAAAATCTGTATTGTGTGAATATATAGTTATAGGTGCGTAAAATTACCGGGGTTGGTAACGAACAAATATACTGCCACCAAAAAAATGATACGTAGCCTCCCTCGAAAACCTCCGACTTTTAACCTCTACAAATATTTCTTCTCTAAATTATCAGGACCCTCTGAGATGCTGAAAACGTAGTGAGACCATTTCAATTATTTAAAAACTACAAAGATTTTTCGTCCTTGACCTTGACCTCGTGTGAGAATTTCATCAAAATCCGAGGGGTGCTTCTC